AAAGGAATTCAGGTTGATTGAGAGATAAACAAAGACGTATCCAAACCAGTCAGTGGACACTATAATCTCCCTAATCATTCTAAACAACACATGGCAGTTTGCAGCCTTTTCCCTGCCGCAAAACACTAGAACAAAAATTCATCTTCCAAATCGGCACTCTTAATCCCCACGCTATCAACGAGCGTTTTTCATTCGACTAATTTAGTCTTGTTCTCTCGTCACCATATTCCCACCAATAGCGGAGCTCCATTCTCTGAATATTAACCCACATACTACCATAATTCCTCCTATCGCTCTGACGTTTAATGAAGAAAATAATCCCTTAAAAAAATTGGATTGGCTAAAAGGTCATTTCTGAGCCTCTAGATTTCAAAATTTCCTGGGGGGCGTGCCCCCAGATTCCCCTAGGGGCTTGCACCTTCGGCGCTCGAAACTTGCCTGTCTTGTTCTGAAGTCCGGCTACCCCGGAAAGGCCCTCCTTAGGTTAGGTAATGGTTGTGTGACCGGGATTGACCGGAATAAACCGTCGGGATTACGGGATTGAGACAAAAATTTAGTCGGGATCGCGAAATTCGAGAACCCTATTGGGAACCCTCGGAGAATAGAGAGGAACAGAACAAAATAGTTGGGTAGGCATTCAACAAAATTCTTTAGTATTTTTGCTATTATAATTTGTGTCACCTCTGCTGTCATAACTCTAGAAAAGGGAATGTACATCTTATTTCTCTTCTCTAAGTGTTTTTTCCTACTTTTAGTGTTTCAAATTAAAGAGTTTGTTGCATATGACGTAAACCATTAAGTATTTTTGAGCCTAAACAAGATTGATATAAATGCTGTGAAACTTTTTCGGTTTTTACGTTCTTGTGCTCTAAAAGGGATAATATAGTTTTAGTACTTCCAACTTCTGTATTGCTACATGTTGTACCGTCATGTATGAATGTATGTCTCTTTTTTCTTTTTCAACCATGATAAAATTATTACACTATCTTCTGACTTTCTACTTTCAGCTTCGTTTCACAGAAAACAAATCAAATGAAATAGAAAACTGCGCAGAATTGTCTTTGTGAATGTAGCATGAAAGATCTTCTGCCTTGATCATAAACCAGTGTGAAATTTTCTGTAAAATTATCGTACGTACGAACTATGAAAATTTCCAGAAGCATCATTTAAAATGCGTTTAACGCTACCGTAAGACATGTTGCGGACCTCTTGTTTGCTTTTTCTAGGAGTTCAACTAGTTATGTATCTGTTTACGGCTTAGCTTTCTCCAGCTTTTTAGTTCCTTTTAGGAAAAAATAATTACAAAATCTATGCAACTAATTCCTAAAAGAAGTGTTAATCAAACTCTTAATCTTAAAACTAAAAGATAAACGTGCTCCATTCATGTCGGCTCTTGGAAATTGGCCTATTATATCTCCATTACCAAAAATATCAAAGACATTCTAAATCCATATAAATCTTGCCTAAAACTGGGAGCGCTACATTAATCCAATACAGCAGAACACTTCAGGAACCAATCCACCCTCTATGGAGAAGGAGAGAAATGAATGCGGCCAGAAGGCCTCCAACTACGCCCACCACAATGAGTGCATTCCATCTGGTGTTCGTCGTCACTTCTTCCAATTTTGGACTCAAGGGTTCAGCTAGAGAACAAGGAGAACGAATTAATATTATTGAGGTTATTCTAGTCCAGTGGGAGAAAGCAATGGAGGTGGAGTAGCAAGTGCGGTTTTGAGGACTTAAAAGGAATTACGACGGCAAAAGACAACGTGAGCTGATTAATGTATAAGGTGATGGAGAATTTCATGTAACCATGGTTGGAATAGCAATTTTCTTTTTCACTTCAGGTAGAGGGCACTTGAAGTAAGTAATACAGTAAATGGTTTGAACCTGGGGGTAACATGTAATAGTGTAGTTTGATCGTCCGGGTGAGTGTAGTCCTGAGAAGGACTGTTGTCGGTAGTGGTGACTGACGTTTCGACAACCCGAGCGGAAGTCAAGTGAAAGGTTGTTGTCAGTCGAATGTACTTAGTCCGGTTTGTGTACACTGATTGTGTACAGTTTGTGTACACTTAGTCCGGTTTGTGCACACTGATTGTATTCAGTTTACACAGACCGGACTAAGTACATTCGACTGACAACAACCTTTCACTTGACTCTGATGATGACTTCCGCTCAGGTTGTCGAAACGTCAGTCACCACTACCGACAACAGTCCTTCTCAGGACTACACTCACCGGACGATCAAACTACACTATTACATGAAGTAAGTAAAACAAATCTCAATCACTATTGTTACTCCCTTCTGTCACAAAAAGCAACAGTATGAAAGAATCAGACTGAACAATCTGATTCGTTCTGTGTTGCATGTATCTTTCCTGCCGAACAAACAGACAAAAAACAAACTAGATCATACCATAAACCATGTTTGACATTGTCGCAACAAGGTCTTGACTCTGACTCTCCCAGCTGTACTTCTCTTCATAGAATTTTCGTACTTGTCGAATCTCTTTAAGTCTCAATCGCCGTTCCTTCTGTCGAGTGGATTGGATTTTTTTTGCCCATTCATTAGCATCTTTAAAGTCTTCTACAATATAAAATTCACCAAACTCCACTTTCTTCAATGCCTCAGCAAATCCCGAGTTTCCACTCACAAGCTAAGAATGGGAATGCCGGCAGAAATGCCTCGAGGGCAGTTAAACCAAACCCTTCTGTTCTTGATGGCATGAGAACGAGATCAAACTCCAGCAACGATTTGATTAAAAATTCCCGATCTTTACAAAACTTTCTTACAGCTAACTGACAATGTGGTATTAATACCACAACTGACTAAAAAATCAACAAGTTCTTTTTGATTGTGAGTGTTTGCATCAATGATGGTAAGGTGATATGATCTATGACGCAAAATAGCCACGGCCTTTGCCGCAATATCATAGCCCTTTATGGACAAATCCTTTGGATCACAACGGCCAAAAACTAAAATGTAAAACTTCTCCAAATCAGCAACAGTGGTTTTCACACACTTAAATTCAGAAAAGACACCTGGTGTTATTGACAACACAGTTTTTTCTTCTTCGCAAGGTCGGAGGGACTTAGCAATAGCTTCCTGTAATTTGGGTCCCATGGTAACAACAAGGTCGGCCTTTTCACACAAGGAAACTTCCGACACATGCTTCTCTTCACCTCTGGAGAGAGGTTTGTCGCAGATTTTGTGCATGGCAAGTTCTTCAGGATATGTGTGGACCATCTGTACCCATTTACAGAGGTGGCTTCTTCTGATCTCCTCTGCCTGCCACCCAAGCTTCCAATCATGACCGATAACCACGTCTATGTGGAGTTTCTCCGGGGGAAACGCCAACCAGTCGAGGGGGTCTGTGGAGTTTGACATTTTTCCATCTGCTTCCTCAATATTAATACCACATTTAAATGCTTCTGCTTTGTGTTTTTCCTTACATTCGCATTTAAATGGAGGAGCAAACAAAGTGACTTTTACATTGGGATTCGATGAAAACTGTTTGGCGAGCACTCTGTTTATGGTGGACAAACCACCCTTTGCCGAACACCATTCAGTTGCTAGAAGAGTAACATGTAATTTCTTCCTACGCACGTGAAGTGAATCCACGTCCACCAAGGACTGAAGTTTTCCATTAGCCTGAGGCTTTTCCTGCAACATATCGCAACAGACAACAGTTACACTTTGACTCTAGTTTTGCCATGAAATGCTACTTTTTTAAAAAGAAAGGTGCCACAATACCAAAGCGGTTACAATTCAATAGCCTTGGTCAAAAATAGAACGAATTAGCCAGTAATAAGACTGAAAGACCAACCAAAGGAATTACAGAGGTGAGAATTTAAGGAAGAAAGGAATGAAAGAATAAATAAAAATATTTAACAAATGAATAAATAAGCAACAAACCTGAGCTCTTTGAATTTCTGAGGAGGAAAGCACGACCCCAGAGGGATGGGATGCCTGCAAGAGAGAAAAACGCCTTGAGAAGCTCACAGGCAACAGTTTTGAAATGTTGTAAATAAACTGACTTGTGATGCTATCTTCTTGGCCTACATCTACCATATTAAGGTTGGCATCAGCAGTTTATTAGGTGTGGAATAAAAGTACATTTAATTTAAAAATCCATACACCGAAAAATGCCACCTTCTTGAGATGCTATTACTATGGTCACGTTGCACAAAAGTTCACGACTTTGGTCGGAAAACTTCACTCCTGGAACACTGTCACTTCCTAAGCAAACTTCACCACCTGTGTCAAAAACTTTTTTCTCGCAGAATCTGTTCAAAATGAAATGAATTTAAATAGGACAAACCCAACGTACACTATACCAGCAGAGTCTTCATCTAGAAAAGCACACGCTTTGAAATCTTTTCTTACAATCGAAAATGACACCACATTTGATGAGAGCAGTGGTGAATCTTTGAAAACGAGTATTTGAAGACAATCACGCCCAAACAAAACCAACATGTATACCTTTGTGGCCCCATTAACTGATAAGAAACCTAGAAAAGTCATCGCGAAAACTGGCTAACTGACAATTGAAAATTTTTACAATGAAATGTATAAATTATTTCTATCTAAAACTAATATGACTGCATCAAGAAGTTTTTAACTAAATCCTATGTCCTCGATGGGCTAAAAATAAATCCTATCATATTTCACCTCACAAACTTTAGGGCGTTTTTGTCGACCGTGCCTTGGGGTATGATTGCCTCAGAGAGAGACACCACAATTTTCTCCTCTTCAGAGACTGGTTTGGAAGAGTTGCCTTCGCCTTTGTAGGGCACGATGCACCCTGATATTTGCCGGTTTACATCATATTGTAGTCTTGGTGGATAGCAGAAGAGTTTGATTCCAAAATGTCCAGGAACACCGGTCTCACACAAGCAAGTAAAAAATCGGGCATGCTGAGGCCTAGACCTACTGCAAAGTTTTCCTACAAACTCAGTGAAGCCTGAAGCAGATTGTAAAAGTGATCTGATCAACTTGATTGGACGGAATCTATCAAAAGAGGAAAAACCAAACACAGCTCAAGCACTCCAACGGAAACGATTATCAGCCATTGCTCAGTAACTTTGATTCTACCTACTCGAGGGATCATTTCAATTATTTAATCTATACTCAAGTAATGGGAACACATGCATATATGTTCATGTATGACTGCACACTGAAATACTGTTAAAATTCCTCTACATCTTGCGTATTGTCTTTCAAATAAAGCAATACTTACCTAGAGAAATGCTTGACTTTGAATTGCACTTTCCCATCGAGAAGAAGTGGCGGTTCATCCAGTCCATCTGTGATGTCTTTCCAGTCATGTGGTTCAACTAGTGACTCACAGTGTAATATCCTAAGTTCACCAGGACATAACTCTGCCAACTCTTGTTTCCCTTTACAGAGGGTGAGAGGAATCCTAATTGTTACAGGCGTGATGAAAGTAACTTTTTCAGAGCCTGAAATGTAAAGAACTGGACCAACAAGTCCTCCCTCTCCTTTTAGCTCACTGCTTGGAAATTCTTGTACCTTGATTCAAAACCAAAAAATGTTATGTTGAACATGTTAAACTACTCCCAAAATAAAGTTCATTTACACCCTTTACATAATGAAAAGTGAATTTCAGGATGAAATTTAATTCTCCAATAATAGTATACAATGTAAGTTTCCTCTCAACATTTTATGTAACATTAATTTAAGCACTATTATTAAAAAAATATACCTGGAACTTACTATAAAAAATCTGATTAGTCAAGACCATTCACTCAATATACAATAACGTACGAAGTTAACATGATAACCCAATATCTGCAGCAGATATTGGGTAATCATGTCGAGTTTAACCTCTGCCTTGTTTTCAACGCCCTGTTTCTGCGAAGAGTTCGTAAACGTTTCCAAATTGAGAGAGAAGTGTATTCTTTTATCAAACCTTATGTCTGCGTCATCTTCACCTTAAGCCGATAACTTAGACCTCGGTTTTGATAATGCATGATATCATGCTCAATTTCATCCACTAATTGCATTAATTTAATCAAGATTAAAATTCAATTGCATGAGTTTTCCAAAATCTAGTTTTTAAAAATGGTATTACCAGCATTCATGAGTACATTTGGGGACAGTAAGTACCATAAATAATTCATAGTTACCAAAACTACTGATTAGAACATTATTACATGTAGGTATCTTCCCACACATGTAAACACGTCCACAATTGTCCTATATTAAGCTTAAAGTTGTTAATTAATATCTCTCCATCAATATTGCCACCAAGTTCGTGGAGTGTATTGCAAGCAACTGAGAGCACAGGCTTTACTTTTAGAATACCTTTGTTTCATCTTCATTCTTTTGACAATCCCCACACACCGATCTTATGAGTCACTTCAAAACTAAATGATGAAAAAGTTTTATTCTTTCATGTATATAGTTATATAGTTCCGTGTACCTTGATTGTAATACAGAAATCTTGATTAACAGGAACACAACTCTGAGGAATTTGAACACTGACATCAGGAAAGTCAGGCACATTACAGGCCAATTCCGGACCTACTGCAGTACCTCTTGAGAAGGTGAAAGACTTAGGACGCCAGACTGCACCAAATGAAGATACTGCTGACTTTGTACAAACAGCTTGTGCAAATGGGAAAAGCCACCTGGGAACTGTTGAAGCTACTGCGTGAAAATAAAAATAATGGTTGAAATTACTTCCTTCAGCTCTGTTTTAAAGTCTTCAAACAGTAAAGTTACCCCCAACAGATGTAATAGTTTATAATAGTTTAGCTTCAAAGAATAAAGTTTGCAACAACGTGGTGACTGAGAAAAATTTACGTTATAGTGATCAAAATGCATCGTAGACTTCATGCAACATATTTGTCATAATTACACGTACTGGTTGGATGCAACTACAGGTAAAAAAAAAAGTTCAAAAAATTCCATTGGATATGTAAGGCATATGAGGTAGGAAGAGGTGTATTTTGACATTATGAGTGCAGTAGGTCACGCATTGCAGGGATCAATTTCAGTATCTGAGTCAGTGCACACCTACTCCTTCCCTAAGCCAGTAATAGTCAACTTATAAGTTCAGGTTACAAGTTAGGGTTAATTTTGGGTTAGGAGAGGGGGAGGTGCACAACTGCTCAGATACTGACATTGATGCCAGTGAAGAAGGGAGCCTGAGAGTATCATTCATTAAGTTATTCACACCTGCATTTAATAACAACATAACGTTACCTGATCCATGCCAAGTATTCTCTGTCTTCAATTCTTTCCATTCATTGTTCTCTTGGTCAGTCAGTTGCTTGATAACCACCTCATACCCCTCCAAATTTGGGGCACTGTGCAACAAAGCTATAGTAAAACTTAATCCTTCAACACTTTCCTTGTACTCCAGATCTGGTGGGCCATCATGAGATAGTTCAACAATACTGCTAACCAATATCTCATCACTGGCAAGGGGTGGAGAGAGGGTCCTAGGGTTCCACAATAAGCATCTCAATCGCAAAGGCTGTTGGAAAGCTCCACTGTTAAGTTTAATAGAGGCACCTGCTTCCCTTAGGTGCCATGTGTCTTCCTTATCTCCAATTTTCCCACTGAAATACACAGGAAAATTTGTCATCCTACATTTTAAGATACTTTTTCCCAAGTGGAGTAAGCTGTGACAAAGGCATTTAAAAAGCAAGTAGCAAACTTGCAGTTTGAAAAGTCATTCAGGTAATGGCACTCAACGTCAAACCTAAATCTCATAACTGTCCTTTTTTCTCTTTCTTTTTGCTTGGATGGATGTAATAAAATTTATAATAGCATTACAGCTATTAAGCATGAACTTTATTAACTAAAGAAAAGAAGAGAAAAGAAAAAAAGTAACTGTCATTTATGAAAAGGCCTGGAGGGCTGCTCCTAAGTCGGAGCACTTTGTTTGAGGTTGCCATTAGACCACACCCCTACTAACCACTCCAACCCTGCTCTTTGCAATGGTCTGTAATTCCATAACAAAAAAAAATATGAGAAAGATAAACAACCTAGTCATTGCAGGAAAAAAATACCTTTTGATCAGAGTCTTCTAATTGTCTTCATTCTCCGCTGTTGCGTCTTGTTTATCTGCCAAATCCTCCTTCTCATCGGCTAGGGAAATTAATCATTTGAAGTATGTGTTTCAGTATACAATACAGCAGACATTTTACTACCACTCAATTCCAAATGCCTGTTAAAAAAAAACTGTTGAACATAGGGCCTCTCCGCACTAACGAAAAAGTTGTTTATTTCGACTAATTTTCTGGTATCACCAAATTTTGACAAATTTTTACCAAGGCAGACAAACCTTGAAGCACATCGCCAACAAAATTTGCCCCATGTAAAAACTGGACAAAATCGACTAAATAAACCGAAATCGTGATAAATTTTTCGATCGATAGTGGCAAAAGATACGACCTGCGTGTAATTGAACTGAAATCCGTTCACTAGAGAGGCAAAAATTGTCTTGTTCCAAAACTCTAGGATTCTAAAATCTCAAAACGACTTAGAATAAATGCTGGAGATTGATATTGAAATCGTTTGGCAAACTAGATAAGGCGCGGACGGAATTTGAAAGCTTTGAAATTTTTAATGCGAATGCAGATGAAACAAAAATTTGTCCTTTGATTTTCTCGGGACGATTCTAATTTTGACTTATGAAAATCGCCTAGGCTCTTATAGGCATTGCAAGGATTACCATTTGCCCCTCCTTCTCCGACTTTGCCTCCCACTTCTTTTTCAATTTGTAGACGACGCTCATGGTACTCAATGGCCTTTTGAAAATCGCCTGACCTCTGATAGGCAATGCCAAGATTTTCATAAGCCCGTGTTTCTCCAGCTTTATCCCCAACTTCTTTTGCAATTTGTAGATGACGCTCATGGTACTGGATTGCCTTTTGAAAATCGCCTAAGTTATGATAGGCAATGCCAAGATTTTCATAAGCCCATATTTCTCCAGCTTTATTTCTTACTTCTTTCGCAATAAGTAAATGACGCTCAAAGCAATCGATGGCCTTATGAAAATCGCTCAAGCTATAATAGGCAATACCAAGATTTCCATTAGCCCGTCCTTCTCCAGCTTTATCCCCCACTTCTCTTGCAATTTGAAGATGATGCTCATGGTAATCGATCGCCTCATGAAAATCACCTAAGCTATCATAGGCAATGCCAAGATATCCATAAGCCCGTCCTTCTCCAGCTTTATCCCCCACTTCTTTTGCAATTTGTAGATGACACGTAAGGTAATCAATAAATCTGTTAAAATCGCCTAAACTTTGATATGCAATGCTAAGGTTTCCATAAGCCTGTCCTTCTCCAGCTTTATACCCCACTTCTTTTGCAATTTGTAGGTCACGCTCATGGTAATCGATTGCCTTATAAAAATCCTCTAAGCTCTGATAGACGATTCCAAGATTTCCATTAGCCCGTCCTTCTCCAGTTTTGTCTCGCACTTCTTTTGCAATTTTTAGATGACGTTCATGACAATCGATGGCCTTTTGAAAATTGTCTAAGCTCTGATAAGCAATGCCAAGATTTCCATAAGCCCGTCCTTCTCCAGCTTTATCCCCAACTTCTTTTGCAATTTGTAGGTCACGCTCATGGTACTCGATTGCCTTGTGAAAATCGCCTGTGCTCTGATAGGCAATGGCAAGATTTCCATAAGCCCGTCCTTCTTCAGCTTTATCCCCCTCTTCTTTTGCAATTTTTAGATGAAGCTCATAGTAGTCGATGGCCTTATGAAAATCGTCTAACCTCTGATAGGCATTGCCAAGATTTTCATAAGCCCATATTTCTCCAGCTTTATTTCTTACTTCTTTCGCAATAAGTAAATGATGCTTAAAGCAATCGATGGCCTTATGAAAATCGCTTAAGCTATTATAGGCAATGCCAAGATTTCCATAAGCCCGTCCCTCTCCAGCTTTATCACTCAATTCCTTTGCAGCTTGCAGATGACGCTCATGGTACTCGATAGCTTTATGAGAATCGTTTGAATTTTGATACACAATGTCAAGATTTCTATAATTCTCTCCCTTCCCAGCTTTTTCGTCTTTTTCGTTGGGTTTTAATTGTCTTTTATTTTGGAAACTGTCATCTACTCTCCAAAAGAAAGAAGAAAAACAAACAGTTTTCACGGGAAGAAAATGGAAACAAATCTAGTGATCATAAACGTACAAAAACTTCCTTTTTTCATAAAGATTCTCATTTGGATTTAACTTTCTACTTTTAGTCTTATTCAAAATATCCATACAATCAAATGCAAATAATGTTTTTATTTAACAAATGGCTTAATTGATCGGAAACTTAAGAAATATGTATGTAGCTTGATAGATTGCATCATGTTTGACCTTGGATGAATTTTATTTCAAATCTCTTACGGTCCTTGCCTATGGTTTATCCCTAAACTATGGAAAAAAGGAAATAATCTTTCTGGGATATCCTTCTCTCCATTTTGTCTTAAGGCTGGTTTTCACGGGTGACGAAGTCGGAGTTGTAAGAACCCTTCCAATCAAGTGAAAACTTAAAATCAGAGTCGTAAGTGGAGTCAAAAGCTCAACAGAATCGGAGTATGGAATCGGGGTTGGAAGAATCAAACTGTTCTCATTTTCTTCCGATTCCGCTTTGGACCCCGACGCTTATGATCTGTGAAAAATCAATATTCGGAGTTGGAGGTGGAAGCGGAAGATCAAACCAGTTTGATTCCAACTTGATCGTACTGCACTACACTTTTCAGTAACGACTTCGACTCTGTCGTAAATTAAAGCAAGCCATTAGGTTGTGGCTTATTATTAGCTATTAAGCTTTTTACATTGGAGATTGATATTGAAAAAAAGAGTCGAGGCGGAATTATAAGACTTTGTATGAGAATATTTAGGACCGCGCCTACGAATAAAAAGAATCTGTCAAATTCTCAATAAAAATACCTCACGTTACTTCCACAGTACATTGCTTGCTATCTGACCGCTCACTATGTTGGAAAGAACCCATGTTAGGCCTGTTCCAAACGTCGTGCTACTGCCGTGCCGAACTCAAATGAATTTGGCTCGGCAGTGGCACGACGATAGCACGGCAACGGTTTCAAACGTCGAACCTAATGCAGTCGCGCCAAATTCAAAAGACAAAACAAACCATCCATCCAGCGGTATCGCCCCATCCAAAATGGCGGAGGGAAACCTTAACGAAGAGCGCGAGAAGTTTGTTTTGTTTAAGACAATTTTAAATGCCAGAAGGCAACGCAGGCGAATGCAACAGTCCATATTGAATACTGTTATTCATTATTCTTCTTCTGGTTTCCCTTGACGAGAGCCAGCAAGTTACTGTATTACGATCGTGCCGGCGTTTCCAAACCCTAACCCTAAGCAATTTATTGTCACCGTCGGATTCCTCTTCTCTCAAGCTTTCGGGCAAAACGGGTAGATTTGTCTTTTTTTTATTAGTGCGCATGCGTAATAGTATGCAAATAATGCAAAATCCGTTAAATTAATTTATGAATTGAGTTCGGCGCGACAGTAGCACAACGTTTGAAACCAAGTCGTGCTACTGCCGTGCGGCACGGCAAGGCCTGCCGCGCTAAGTAGTCGTGCCGAACCTAATTCAGCCGTGCCGCGCTTAATGGTTTCAAACGGCGTGCTACTGCCGTGCTTAAATCGAAATTACTATTTCATTTGAGTTCGGCACGGCAGTAGCACGACGTTTGGAACAGGCCTTAGCGAGTTATCCACTTCTAGGTTTACTACACAAGGTAAGCCTTTCTTATGTAGTAAACCTAGAAATGAAAAAGCATCCTAGACATGATCAGATGCGTGATCAACGGAAGTGCCTCTTTCAGTTGTGCTCCTTAGAGAATCAGCAAACTCTGTAAAGTCTTCTGCGCTAAGTTGCCCCGCCATTTCGAGAGAAATACACTCTGCTCACAAGCTGTTGCTCACCGGCCAGAAAAACTAATGGATAATCTCGCGTAGTGATTTATTTTTCTCACGCAACAATTTCTCATTCCCAACAGTTAATATTTATTTCTCTGTATATTGCTACATCAGTCTTTTTCAAGATTAATGTTTCTTTATTCTCGATGGGTGATTTAAAATCTCGCAAGACAGTTTTTTCATTCTCGTACAGTGATTTCTATTTCTCATGTAGTTATTTTTCCAATCTCACATGTCGATCACTGAAACCTCATGGGTAATTTTGACCTCAACCCACTTTTGTCATGAATAAAGGGGGTAAGTTTCTAAAGAAACTGTGGTGCTGCATCGGTGGGAGGTGGGAGAGTATAACAGGTAATTTAGTGTTAACAGCTGAGTTGAAAACATAAATTGGCCATCGTAAAGAACTTAAAGGCTGACATTTCAAGCGTTAGCCCTTCGCCAGATTAATTGGAGGAATTGTGGATTGTGTGTGGGTTTATATGCAGAAAATAGAGCTATGCTATTGGTGGGAATATAGTGATGAGAAACAAGAATATATTAGTTGAATGAAAAGCGCTCGTTGATACAGTGGAGATTAAGAGTGCCGATTTGGAAGATAAATTTTTGTTTTAGTGTTTTGCGGCTTTCTGAACTGCCTGGATGCCACAAACTGCCATCTGTTGTTTAAAATAATTAGGGAGATTAAAGTGTCTAGCGACTGGTTTTGATGCGTCCTTGTCATTTCTTTCCATGTTCCGAAGGTACTCTCGGAATTGGTCACCTAGTCGTCTTCCTCTTTCACCAATTTATAACTTATTGCAATAAGTGCAAGTTATGCAGTAAATGACATGGCGGAGGTACACGTAAAGTGATCATTGATCTTGATGGATCTTTTGGGTCCCGATATTTTCTCTACACTATGAATGAAAGGAAAAGTTTTGGATCGTGAGCGAGCGCATTTGAAAGTCCCAGATTGGTCATTGGTTTGAAATGAACTTCTGACCAAAAAGTTGCCTGTTACATGTTACCACTTTTGTCATGTTTGGCTTGCCATATTAATTGACCTTAAGGAGGCTCCATAGGGTTTTTGCACAATGTTGGCGCGCGCGCCAGCTTACTGTTTTTTCGGAAAATTTTTCTTTTCGCATTTCAATGTCACTAAAAGCCATTAAAAGGCAACGAGCAAGGTTCGGACTATTGTTTGCTGTAGAAAAGATCATCAAAATGATTTTCGTTATTAAGCTAAGGTTCCACGAAGGGAGGCGCTCGCCAATGATAATGTGGCTTTGCCTTTGATTTTCTTCAATTTGCTTCGGTGAAGTCTCTCAAAATTCTCACAACTTTTTGAAAATTGTCCAGCCGATCATTTAACAGCCGAAAACATGGGGGTTTCGAGGGCAGTTTGCTCTCTATTTGTAATGCTGTGTTTTCTTCCTCTATCTCAAACTTGGTCTTATGATTTTTTTTTATCAAAAAGCAGTAGGAAGGGCACAAATATGCTTAAGGTCCAGGAAATCTTTAGAGATTCCACCGAAGGAAGCGCGATAAATCTTACTCGAAAGATACGTATTTGCTTTGTCGCAAAACATTACGTAATGGAATAGAACTTTGCCAAGATCGGTGTCTGAGCATGCGTAGACTTTCGAATCTGTCGCCTTTTGGCAATCTTTTTTCCCACGGTGTTTTTTTTTTTTTTCTGGTTGACCTCTTTTTCAGGCGTGGAAGGCCTATGGATATTACCACTGCGGTTGCTGGAAACCCTAGATTCCATCGCCTAAAAGCTGTGTTGTGTTAAAGTGTTTTTCACACAACTTTTCAGGTAACAATTGTGCGATCGCATCGCGATCGAGCCGCAATGTTTGTTTTGTATGTTGACACCTTTAAAGCTCATGCTATGTTCGTACCCAGATCTCGCGCGGTCAAAAAACCCTATGAAGCCTCCTTAATTCTTTTAAATCGATGAGAGTGACCTCACACATGGCCTCATCCTCGCACCGTAATTTCGGCACCAGATCACTGAACCGCGAGAATTCGGAAGTAACCTATTAGCGTATAAGACTTTACTCAGTCCGATTACCATTACAAATGGGTGCCAAGACCTTCAATATCTTTCCATATTCTGCTGGTAACAGAGAAAGTTTGCATAGCAAAATAAACTTCGATTAAACCGGGTTTGACCGATTGTAAATCAAAACAGAGAACAAAAAACTGAATTTTTAACGAGATTCAATTTGTGCTACATTTGAAGTCGACAAACATTGGTTTAAGCAGCTCTTAAGAAGAAAAATATATGAAACCACGTTTGACAAAATAATATTGGTTTAACACTAGTATCTCCATACGAAACAGCTTTGAAACATGTTTAAGCTTTGTTTTGAATGGGGTATAACCCTGTTATCGGCTAACGATGTAAAATGAGGTGAAAGTATCCACCTAAAGATGGCAGACCAGCCCGCAGTTATTTTCCAGTTAGACTCTGATTAACAGCTCCGAAAGCCATGCAATATTTGTAGCAGGATTAAGGTTACTTCCCACCTTCGCACGCTAGTTTCACTAAAATCCTGGCAAACTACATACCAGGAGAGAGCTTAATAACTGCAGTTTACGACAAAAATATAATTTAAGCGAGTTTTCCTTTATGGAAGTGTCAGGAGCTGGTAAGACTTGACACGACCGAGGGTTCTTCTACTGAATTATCGGGTATCGGATGCCGCAAAACGAGCAAAATGGATGCACAGTCTTATTTAGAAGGCATCAATCAACAGAAGTGTATCTGGCTTTTTCGACATTCTGACTTGCTTTCTAAATATCTGCATCTAAAGTCGGAGTAGCTAAAGATATGCGAGGCGTGTTACGTAAATGGACGCCAGGCGACAAATATTTTTAATATCTAAATTTCCCGGCACATCTTCGTTTTTCATTATTCTTAGAATGTTTTCTATCTATATACCCTATAAACCCGCTCAGAGTGGTTGTATTCCTCCCAAAATCAAATGCGAGATTTCAGCTCATAAAGGTTCGCAAACAACTCGCGCCACGTTAGGAGATTATTTCGCCTCTTGAAACCGCAAACCAATAGGACAACGGGACCTCCTGGCGTCAATGACGATGGATCAAGATTTCCCGGGAAAAGTAATCCATTGCAGACACGTTTTTTGATCTCGATCGCTCAGTGGAAAGTCGCGGAGGACGACACAATAATGAGGAAAGTTGCCAAAGGCAAAGGAAAAACCCGCGGCAAAATGGAAAAACTGGAAATGTGCCAAGGAGCAAGACAACAAATCGACAGGCAGCTTTCAAAATTACGATTCGAGGCGGTAGCTAGCGTTAGCGTTTTTGTATCAAGGCTTGTACTTGCGTACAGAAAAGGAAACCTCGATTTTAACATCATGTATGACAAATTTTGGTTTGACGGCGACTTCTTTGTTCGAAATCTGAATGCCAGCTACCAGTCGCTTTCAAAAAGGAATTTTTTCTTTTCTTGACAGAATGATACTCTATTTTCTTCTTTCGATCTGATTTTTTTTTCTTTTCTCGTTTACCAGAGACTTTCTTCCACTTTTGATTTTTTCATGAGCAAAGATTTCCATAAACAAAGAGCTTCCACGTGTGAATTTTGTAAAAAGCGCGATGTAAACAAAATATGAAAATAACTTGAAAATCGATCCTCAACCCTGATAAGCGGTTGCGCGAAAATTCCCTGTGGGGATTCGCCTAGGTCCGAGATTATGACACCTTCCTGATTTAATAACTTTTCTTTGAAAATACGTTTTTCTAAATAACTGGGGTGCTTTTAAATGTTTCAGAAATTCTCTTTGGAAACGTTAGGTTGAATGTTGGAATTCAGTTAGTCAAATAAAAGAAAAATCGATTTTTAGTAACCTTCAGCTTCTTGTTTCTCCATCCTCATGTCGTTGTACTAATTTTACTTTCAAACAAAACTTAAGGTCATGATCAATATTTACAGTTAACTTGCAAATATGTATCTCTAGTCTAGGCATGAAAGATTTCATTGTAGAATAGTGCTAATGTTCATATTCAGTGTTTTCAAACCTGAAGAGCTGTCTTGTTCACGAGGAACCTCCATAGCTAAAAAAAGAACACAAAGGAAAATATTATTGGTCTTACCGGCCCGAGCGCTTCAGCAATCACTTTATTTTCCAAATTCATCGGTTGAAGTTCAAGTTAAACAAGCCGCAATACAAAGGAAAAAATCGGAGGTTTCTTTGCACACCTTAATCTCTAATAAGCTTCATTTCGTTATAATTTATTCCTTGTATAACAATCTTATGTTCAAATTAAAGAATTCAGCTACGGCTTGATTAATTTGAAAAGACGTAAGTATAAGAACGGAAACTTCCTGGTTGAGAGCGACCGGGGGCAGAGGTAATTTATCTTCTCTTGAAAATGAAACTCATGACTTGGATTTCACATAATTAATATTCCAGAGACAGAAAGAGGGATGCCCTCTCGATTGTGGTGTTTTGGGAGTTTTACCCGGCGTCCTTTGGTTGTATTTACCCATTGCTATAACCGTAAACATGGTGAAATATTTTTTAAAACCGAGTTAATGTGTAAACTTCAATACTAGTCAATGTGACTGTATAAACGGTCAAATCAAATTACGAATTTCTACACAATGTGCAACACACTTAGCTGCGTTAGACATGATTAACAGCCGATAAGAGAGAGATTAAAGCGGTAGATTTATAAAGACAAGCAACCTTCGGAAATATTACAACCACTTGATCAATTACACGGCTTTCTTCCTTGAGTTCACGACTCTCTTAGTTTGTTCTGGAAATGGTTCACATGCGAGCATAGTGAGTCCCGAACCGAATTTTCCAAAAGTACGTCTCTTCCAAATGTTTTGACAATAGTTTAAGCGTTCTGCTGTGTTGCATCATCTCCGAGAAAACGAAAGTTAACGACCTCGCGCTCGAATGTTTATCCAACATCCTGGACCCTTAAGTTATATTCAAATTCTATTAACCTTGGTCTTGCTTCGCTTTTGCTATTTAACAGAATCACATACGACTATGTACACGATGATAGTTGTACTGAAGCAAGTTGCTCGGGACATCTCTGTAATTGAGGGTACTGCAAACAACGACTGTTATCAAAATATCTTCTAAATTGCTGTCTTACCTGGAACACATAGGTAAGGATTCAACCAATCTGTTACTCAAATCTCTTGGGAAAATTCATCCACCGCTAGAGTTCCTTTCCTTCGGCAGAGGTGTAAAACTAATTGATTTGTAGATACCTGTACAGTACTTTTACAAACGAGAAATTCGATGAGACGAGACGAGAGGCCGGAGACGAATGACGCTCGATTCATCGCTTTGTTTGTTTCCTAGAATTTGAATATGTAATTGTGACATTCGCACAATTAAAATAATCACTTGACCATGACAATGGAAATCAAATTGTCTTACTGTCACGCGATTACTTGATGAGGTCTTTGCCTTACTTTACGGTTACATTCCTCTGACCCCTGTTTTTAGTCAGTGGGTAAATTTGCTTCCTCGCGTTTATCTTGGTTACATCGTTGTCATTTTCATGAATGTCCGAAGATAAGTTAAACCGAAAAATTTTCCAAAACTAAGAAACCTGTTCAAGACTCTGTGTCAGTGGATTAGAGACAAGCGAAGAACCGGGCGAGTTAAAGTTCCTGATCCCACGGCAGCTTTTTCGCTCATTTTCACCAGCCCTGCCCCCTTCCCACCCATCAAAAATAAATGGCGCATTTTGGTAATTCCGCCCTTTTCTTGTTTTTAAGTTCTACGCTGAAAGCGTGACTGAGCCCACAGGCAGCCCAAGCTCGCACAGTTAGCCTTTAAAACTATGCAAATATGATAATAATTTTGGCCGACGAACGAAATATGAGGATTTGCCTGAGAATAAACTGTTGCATACTTAGCCCAGAAATTTGAAACACTTTTTAACAAATCACTTTACTTGCCTTTATATTGCTTGTTCGTTTGAATGTTGTAAGTTTTTTGAAGCTGATTTACGGCCGCATAGGTAGCTTTCAGTTCCCTCTCTTGCCTCTCTCAACAGCGAGCTAATCAGCCGCAAACCAGCCTTGAAGATTCGAAAAAAGCTGTGCTATCTTTGTTTTCAATCAAAACGAAATCAAACTTTCAAGTTAAGAATGTGACAATTACAAACCTTTAAGTTCCACAATACAAATATATCGAAACCTAGCGATTATAAGCTTAACGACTATACAACTTTGTACGAGGTTTAGGAAGAGCTTATAAACGGAGGGACCGGTATCCGAGGGGGTCTATAAACGGAGGGCCCTATGTCCCAGGGGGCTTATGAAAACAATAGAAAAAGCGAAAGCAGCTGGGCGCTGATCAAAATACGTTTTGCATTTATTGGTTTTTAATTACCGAGATATTGCTTGAGAAGCTGTTAAAATCTTGTCCAAGTAAGAAGCTTACTATTTTGTTTTTCAAGTCAAATTATTTTCGCGCCAATGCTGCAATCTATGTCAATCTTTGAGCCTTCAGTAGCTGCCCTGTAGCGGTATTGTCCATAACAGGCTAGGTTACTATGTTTTTACAAAATGGCGATCGAAGAGTTCTTTGATATGTTTTCAGATCTTATAATTTTAGTTTTTGAGTCAACGTCTCTACTGGAAACAAGACCTGTAAGAAAAAAATTTTTTTGGACTTTTGGAAGTCGTTTGGCAGCGTGGATTCATACTTTTATGACTTGAAATAGCCTTCAATTAGAAGGTCGGCTTTCGAAGAGATTGAACAGACGTGGGCAATTGATAAGACAACCCTTGTTGTGGCTGCAGGAGAAGCTTAAGCTGACCAACATAAGCCATTTTAAGACACTTAGGGAACCAAAAAGGTTTAAAGTTTCTTCGACTGGGGCAGATCGTAGCGAAATCGTAAGAGTTTGAGAACGGAGGTGAGTGATCTGGACACTCTTCTAATACATTTCAGACGAGGGCATTTTTAGTATACGCTTCCAGAAAATTACTGAGTCTGATTTTCAAAATTTTCCCACAGAAAGCCTTATGCAGCCGCCATATTTAAACTCCGTATTTTGTCTTTTATGCGCATGCTTAGCCGCCATGATGTCTTCAATTTCTAGCCATGACAACAGATATCAACGTCGCGATATTGTGACGAGTCGTTCATAAATTTAACAACCGGGCAAACGAAGTCAGGTTGAAAAGTTTTTTGCCACACAAGCATTTCACGCCAAGTTTACTGCAATCGTGGCAATTATTCGATGGACCATGCCTTTAGAAAAGGTTTTCCATCTGCCAAAACCTTGTTTCAATTTTTTTTTTCCGGATTTGCTTCAGTACAGGCAGAATCCTGCTGTGAAGAGACTAAATTTGTCAGCCAATTGACAGCTGACAAAACTTAAAAAAATAAACCATTCATAATTTTTTTCGTCCTTAAGTTTCCTACATTTTGGTTTTGGCAGAATTTTGTAAGCGTGTTTAAGAAGGCTCAAAGGTCTGTTTGTTTGATACGCAGCTAGCACGTATCACAAAGACAAGTGATTCCCAACTTCCGGTTGTAGCTCAATTCATTTCCGCTTTGTTCCAGGATACATTGTGCGCGGTTAAAGATGGCGGACAAAGGAAAATGGAAATTTACCCGAAGCAATTAGCTCATAGGGAAAAGATAACAGAAGAATCTCAGGCTTAGCGAAGCCTCTTGCTGACTGCAAAATAGAGGTAAGATTTTAGTCGACTCATCGTGTTCACTACGCACAAGTACAGGGCGTGAAATTAACTTGTTTTTCTGATAGCCACTTGGCTCCTAAATTCTTCAAAGTGGTAGCCAATTCAAAAAAAGTTGGTCGCCATATTCAAAGACAAACAAAATCTTTCTTTACGCTGTCAGCGTTCTAGATAGGCCCTCCAAAATTAAGTTAGGGAAAAGATCTTTAACGTGCTACAAAGTGGACACTAGGATGGATGATATACAACGTTCAGGCTTATCTAAATCCAAGATGGCATCTAGTTATCGATCGAGATGCTACGTTTTGGAAACAAACTTAACGAGGAAGTTTGCCGCGGATTTATCTTTGCAAATTTTTTAAATTCTCTATATCTCTTGGTAAGGTTATAATGAAACGTTCTAGTAGCCAATTTGGCGACTAACTTTCAGGATTTGGTCGCCAAAGTGAAAAATTTAGTCGCATTGGCGCCTGTATTAGGCACAATTTCACGCCCTGAAGTATATGTACGTTTTGACAAAGTCAGCTTCAAGATTGTCCAAGACTGGGTTATTCAAATGCCGGTACACGTTGCTGCTAGGGGTTGTAGCTAGGGATTGTTCCAGTTTATGCTTACATTTCTTTTTCTGAGCATTGCTCGTATTAATCTTAATCGTGACAAATTACTCAACAGGAAAGTTATTTTGAACCTAGAATGAAAAAATGACATCTAAGGCATGTGAGGTTTAGTTTGTTTCTTAATAACCCTTTAACCCCCAAGATCTGATTGTTAAATCTCCCCTCTAGCTGCTACACATTATCTTGTAAATTAGTTGTAAGAATTTGTTGTTAAATCAGCATAACAACTTTCCCCTGATAAGTTTTAGGATTCTTGTTACCTGTTTGCTGGATAATGTGAGGATATTATCAGGAGAAGTTTCATGTTAATCACTTCTGGGAGTTAAATGGCTAATTAAGCTTACATAGTGCTAAGGATTTACATATGTTTTTCTCCATGGAAAAATAGCAGTTACATTCGCAAAAAAAACCGACATTTGAAAACAACGACTTGAACGCTAGAGGCGACTTCAGTGTTAACCCGGCTACGTTTTATCATTCCTTAGGGATTTTAGTTCTAATAGCCCAATTAAATTTTTGTGCACAGCCTGTGAATCAAATCTATGAAGTAAAATATTGTATCCTTCCTCGTACTAGTTTATAAGGATGAGTTTGCTAGTACCTGTATGGCTTTACACAATGATATTTTCCAGGCTCCAAAATAATCACTTTCCTAATTAACATTTCCCTTAAATCTAATGGCTTGCTCGCCCTGACAGCCCAGCCTCATGAACTAGTCCGCAACAGGTGTGAGAAGCAAATGAATGACAGAAATAAGCGACCCTGTTCCCTTATACACCTTTCTCAATGCCGTTCGCTTAGTTTAAATGTGGCATTTAAAACATTTTGTATTTACTACACATTTTTCTATTTAGCCAAGGTACCTGCATAATTATTTGATAATGGTGTTTACAAGAAAATGGTTGGGTTGAAATATATCATAATGTTTTGCCAGCAGGTAACTGCATTAATGAAAAAATGTTTAAAAAAAGTGTGCATTCAATGTATATCCTAAGTTGTTGCATCAAGTTGGCCAATTTTAACAAATACTCAAGCCTTTTAAAACCTCTTATGTTAAAATTTTGTCAGAGTGAACCAGTGAAAGTCTTAGTTGATAGTCAAATGAATACTTTTTCAGATCAATAAAATGTATTGTTGTTTTTCATGGTAACCGTTATGTTGCCACAACTCCACTTTCCAGGACAGAAT